GTTTAAAACAGGCTTCTCACTCCCTGCATTTTCAGTGGTTCAAAAAAACATCTGTCTCTGTTGTGGGATAGGACAGAAAGGAAATGGGTTCAGATATGAATCTGCTCCTGTATGTTTTGTCTACATGCTGTACAGTTTGTATGATGGAAAAGAGATATGTGCCTCTGTGCATGTGTGGCATGTTTGTGCTGTCATGACTGTCTATATGAGACTAGCTATTTTTGATATCCAAATGTGTGTGCGTACTGTATGGGTGTCTTCAGATTCACATATTGGATTTATAAGTGCAATAGCTGTTGATTCTCTCTGCTCTCCTTCTCTGTCTAGCACTTTCCTCATTATAGGGACTCGTGTCTGTCTCTTCTCTATTTCTGAGCAGAGAGATTTCTTGGGGTTTGGGTGGGAAAAGAGGGGGAAAATACCAAAAGACTGACAAGAAAATTAGTTTAATTTAGAAATCATTAAAGAGATCAGTAGTGTCCTTCCATTCCACAGCATATGGGCTCGATCCAGGCACATGACCATACCCCAATACAGCTGTCACCAGTCCAGTCCATTATCAGCCATATTCATGTTAAAGCATCCCCGAGTGAGAGATTATGGTCTTTCGTTGTAACGCTGTAAGAGTGACAGGTGAAAAGTTAAAAATGGAAATGGTGAATAGAGGAGCTGAGAAGCCCAGCGAGACGCAGCCCGCAGAAGGCGTTTTTAGCACCTGCAAACCAAGACTGTGCATTTGAAACTTATTTTTCATCCTTTTTTTCTTTTTCTCTCTTTTTATAAGGCACACTCACGTTAGGTTATAGTTAAAAATAAATATAGGCAGTCAGCAGCACTACAGGATCAGTCACTGTGCTCCTTGGTTTATCCCACATCTTTAATACACTGTGCTCTGCTCCAAAATATCCCTGCCCCTGATAGCCTTAGAAAAATCACCTTTCATGGGAATCCTTCAGGGTATTACTGGCCACGCACTCTTTCTGACCTAATTGCTTCCCCAACTGTGCTAGACCTTGAGAAAGGATGATGAATTGCTGATATAATGTTGGCCAAGCATTTCTTCTATTGGATAAATCAATTAAAACTTTGATATGTAATCTGGTTTCTATATACTTCAGAATTTGGCACTACATTGATTTGCCACTGATAGTTCTTAGTAACTTAAGCTTCTAAAAAATGAATCAAATGTTGATTGGTTTTCTAAATATCTTACTAATTACTTACTAATAATCTTACTTTTTCCCTCAATACCTTTAAAATGAGAAACCTATTTACAGTAAATTAACACTTTAAAGACAAAATAATTATAATAAAATAATTAGATGCCATTTAATATTGGGAATGGGTACAGTACTAATCCAAACCATGATCTTACCTTAAAATTAACAATCAACCATAGTGTTGTCACATAATTTTTCAGTAATTTGTGACATTTTTGTACGACAAGGTGGTTTTAGTTGACCTGGTCCTTTAAATTGGAGGACTTGTTGGAACAGTACTACCAATGACTTTCAGATTTAAGTAACTTCTAGTTGCCTGAAGGAGTAAAACTATCAGTATATTATGAGAAAAGGCACCAAAACAGGATGTAGAAGAACTTGGTTGTCTTGTATGTTGTGTGTTCTATTATGTCCCATTTAAATGAAGTTTTAAATGTTTCCCACAGTTTCATATTCCAAATGTTTTCCAGACTTTTGTGATTGATGTGTAATTTCCATCTTTGCTATTACTCATAGTAGCATTGTTGGGCCCTGCTGTGGACTGGTGGCTGGTGAACTCCTGACCTGTTGGCACTCAGACAAAGACTCTTCTGTTTGAGCTGTTCAACTGTTCCGTCTCTTTCTCCATCTGTTTCTGTCTTTTACACTCTCTTTGCCTGTCTCTCTATTTTCCCCAAAGTCTCGCTCTTTCTGTGCTTCCTTGTATGACTTCCTCACCATCTGTCCTCTGTTTTGTTGTTTCTTTTGTACACATCCCTCAGTTTTTTTTCTTCTGTCTTTCTCTCTTTTGCACTTCACAGCACCACATGATGTAAATGTTTGATTGCTGGCAGAGGCATATGACCGCTCAGTTTCCCACTCACGCAAAAAGCACATTAAGGAGAGAGAGGGGCTGGGGGCAATAAGAAACTGCCATGACAATAGGATGGAGTGGAGGGGAAATGGGGAAGGCACTCTTTTCTCTGCAAAAACTTTGCATGCAACACCTACTGCAACAGTAAATATCATCATTCCTGCATTTTTGAGAAATGTAAAAAAACAAAAACAAAAACACTTAAGGCTGCTACCGGTGATATAGCTACAAAAAGAGTGTTCCGTTATTATGCTGAACTTGCCCTCCTCTGGTGTGGTGATCTGCTGCTTTCATAGGGACCAAGATACTGGAGAAGGCTAAAGGGTCAAATAAGGAGGTGCAAAGAAGTGCACACATTGTGTTTTGTTTAAACAGGGAGGCAGATAAACAGACCTCATTTGCCACAGTGGAGTCAGCCCTGGCAAAACAAATAGGGGCGGCTCCACACAGAGGGTTATTTACCTTAGCTGAAATGTCAACCTAAATGTCCGTCTCATCACACTACTCCATCCAGCACTCTGTCTGCTATTGATTTGTTTCTTTCGTCACTCGCCCCCGTGACTCACCCATGCTCATTTTTATGTGAGCGTCAGAGAAGGCTTGACGTGATTATTGTTGTTACTGCAGCAGCCAGTGTGTTTACACTAACTGCTCACTTGAGAAGGAGACGGAGGAAGACGGAGAGACAAAAGAAAAGTCCTGTCATTACAGAGCAAATGGCGCAAACATCGGTCATAAAAATATATTATGACACTTTATAGGTGTGGCCAGACAAAAAAGATTCTGTTACCAGACAAAGTTGACAGCGAATGACGTGCAGCAAAGGTCCAGCCAGACTCGAACTCCCAGGATGTCCTTAATGATGAGGTCTGTTGACAAGTAACAGTATTTATAGGACATCTCAGGATTTCTTAAATATTCCAACATTTTTTACACGTATCAGCAGAAACATGATTATGGTGAACATTACATTTACAGTATGCAGTTA